TGAATCGCTTTCCATCGAACCTGCGGACGTGGCGCAGTGCTGGAGCGTCTTGATGGGGTGCCGAACCATTGAAGAAGCTCGTGGTCCCGCTGTGATATGGTGGAGTCCCCCTGGCCCCTGTCTCTGCATCTCTTGCTCTGGCGCTCCTGACGCCTGAGAGGAAACAGGTCGTCCATGGTCTTGAGTCTTGACACGTGCCGAATCGTGTTCCTTTGCTTCGAATGTGCAGTGGGACGTCTGCACAGCACGGCCGCCGGTGGTTGGTGATCGGCTTGCCCAAGCCCTGCGCATGATGACAACGATGGGCAGAAGCGGCGCTTTCTTGTCCGTCTTTGCAGCAGCTGTGGGATTGCGCATTCTTTAGTTTTGCTGGCAGCAGCTGAGGTTTAAGATGCTCACAACGCCCGACGCCTTGGCTTCAGCAGGATGGAGTGTCGCTTCATTTGATTCGGTGGCTTTGATGCCAACTGTTGATGATCGTGACCTTGACTTGATCTATCATACTAACAGCCCATGGCAGCACGAAGAAGCTGATGGACTGACACTACTGCCTCCCAGTGTGCAGCAGACAGGACATTCCAACGACGGCCTCCAAAGGCAAGCGAAGGCTGGATCGTCGCGCGTCCGTTTCTATCAGGCCCCTGCAAAAGGGCAGGAGAGGATTCCTGTCTGCAGGTGGTGCAGGCAGTGCTTTCCGAGATGGAGCACCAGATCCGGCAAATGAAATCAAGATCCGCAAATGTGAATCATCCGGACGAAGGCCCAACGGTATTCGCGATAACTTCCCCGGATTGTATTGCGCGTTACAGGCCCAGGTTGAATTAGAGTTCTGCCACGCAGCTGACGGTTTGCATACGAAAGTCCGAGAGATTCCGAGAGTCAGCTCAGCTCCGCCGGAGTTTCTGCTCGACGTGTGCAAGCCCACAGCTGATGGTCCGGTAATTACGGCATGCACAGTTACTTGTTTCCCCTAGCAGCATCGATACTTAGCTGCAAGGTACCAACTTGAGACATGTAGAAAACAGCGAAGGAACACGATGCACGCGGCCTGGCATGAATTTCACGAGCCGAGTGGCGCACGAACTGCGCGGTGACCCGGTCGATGCTGGTCCTCCGAGCGAGCGCGAAGTTGATGGACTCCCGGCGCAATTGGAAATCAGAGGTTTAGTTAATGAATGAGTGCACATGACATGTGCACTCAGCCATGACTTGAGGTCTTCCCGGGAAGCTCGGCACCGTTGTCCATGGGGAGAACGAAGCGAAATCTGTCAGTTCTCCAAAACAGGATCCTGGCCACGTGGAAGACAAGAAAGATCCAGAGGCTGATGGATCCAGCGACGAAGGAGCTGAAGGTTTGGACAAGGCGACCGAGATGTCCGGGACAGTGACAAGGGCGTTCAAGTCCAAGCCGGACACAGGCGAACGCCCTGCTGGCAAATCCAGTGTTGCTGCTGAAGCGCCGCCGTTGGTGCGCAGCCGCAGCAGGAGCGCCAGCCCGATGGCCCAGTGCGAACCCGATCCAGGGCCCAAGAGACGTCCGCACGTCTTGCGGCAGTCCGGGCGTCGCCTTCGTGATAGCGACCTCGTCCGCTTTGCTCATGAAAAGGGCACTGGGTACGACGAGATCGACTTCTCCCGCAACGATTTGACATCGAAGTCAGTCCCCGACATTGTGGAGATCTGTAAGAAGTCCCACCAGCTGAAGATTTTGAAGCTTTTCAACAACCGATTAGGAGACGATGGTGCCGAGGAGCTTGGAGAGATCTTCCAGCACTGTGCATCCATTGAGGAGATACATCTCAGCCACAACGACTTCACCCGCAAAGGAGTCGAGATTCTAGTGTTGGCTGCTGACAGGGGCCTGCCAAAGGATGTGAAGCGTCCACTTTGGCTTCGGATGGAGCACAACAAGGTATCGGACACCGAAGGCTTCGCGCGTGATTTGGAGAGGGACTGTCCTGCTGTGTGTGGCAGGGAGGACCGGCATCGCTGCACACCGAGAGTCTGTGCCAAAGGCAGACGGATCCACCTACCATTCTTGATCGAGGCTCCCAAAGGCAGGGGCCGAGGGAAAGAGAGCTGGGGTCCAGGCCAAGGCCAAGGCCCGCTGCGCCGCGAGAGGAGAGACTCACGGAGAAGGCCCAACAGAGCTCCGATGCGCCGTCGGAGTCGGCCGAAGGAGAGTCGCAGCCGAAGCGCCAGGAGGAGACCAAGGAGCCTTACACTTTCGCCTTCGCAACGGCGCAGGTCTTCGAAGCGCCTGCGCCGGAGTGTACGATGTGCTCGACACAAGCGCAGGCGGTCAGCTTCCCGCTGTACATCAAGCTCTAGCCCTAGTCGCCCTAGTCCAAGAGCTATGCCACTGCCTTCGCCTAGCAAGTCACCAAAGTCAGACCCAAGTCCAAGCATTGTCCTGCCGCCCTCCGTGACAAAGCTCCGGGTGAAGGCCAAGCCGAAGCCACGAGGCAGGGGCAAACCGCCAGTACCGCGACAAGGCCCAGGCAGTGCCAAAGGGCCTCCTGCGCTCGGAAAGGCTAAGCATGCGAGTCACGCAAGGTCTCGTGGAGGTAGGGCTGCCATGGCTGGTGTACAGCGGGCCAGTGGGGCTAATCATTCACGACCTCCAAGAGATGTGCGAGATGATGTTGCTGAATATAGCTACTATAGTGAGTATGAGTACGAGTACAGCTATGTGTGATGAGGACAAAGGGCAGGCTCTGAAACTCGCCCGGTCGCGGCCTGCTTCGGCGAAAGTGGGATGTGGAACTACGGTTAAGAACCGTTGTCGTTTGTGGTCAACTTCCCGAGGTGGACGTAAGAGCCGCCGGAACAGATGTGCCTTGCAATGTATCTGAACGAGTACTATGGTGGCCACGTAGGCAAGACTGAGCATTGCAAATGCAGATGAATGCAGTCCAAACTCCATTGAATCGGTACCTAGTACTCGCCACTCGTACCCGAAGACGGCTGTAATGGTCATGCAGGCTCCCCACGCCTTGTTCGTTTCAACTGCTGTGTGTGTGTGTGTGTGTGTGTGTTTGTTTGTTTGTGTGTGTGTGTGTGTGTGTTTGTTTGTGTGTGTGTGTGTGTGTGTGTGTGTGTGTGTGTGTGTGTGTGTGTGTGTGTGTGTGTGTGTGTGTGTGTATGTGTTTGTGTGTGTGTGTGCGCGTGCGTGCGTGTGCGTGTGTGTGCAGGCTTGGGAGGTGTCGACGCGAGCACAAGGAGCATCTTCCGTGGCTTCTCACACGAATCGCAGTGACGCTGGCTTCGTTCGGGTGCACTGCCAAGCATTATGCAGGCGCACGCCAAGAGCCCTCGACGTCCCCCTGCGTGGCCCAGAGATGAGGCAAGAAACTTCAAGGCTGGCACAAGCCGGAGAACGGAGATCCCATCCAGACCCTTGCAGCCCGTGTTTAGGCTGCAGCCTGCATGAACACCGCCATCGTGGCCACCAGCAATGCCACCTGACCGGATTACACCGTTCAGATTTGTTTTGCGAGTCATTTGTTGCAGTCTTTTGACACCTGGCAGTAGGCCCAGACACACGAACCGTCGCAGTAAGTTAATGCGACTTGTATTGATGCCACAGGGCCGAATGAACGCATGCATTGTTTCATTAGATTTAGTGAATTGGTCACTTTGGAATCTAGCCCACGAACCAGGGACAGTGGAAAGTGAGAAGAGAACAATCAACCCGATTTTAACTCAATTAAGTGTAGGTGAACGTAGTGATTGCACGATCTGATGTATTGACATTGGTCTTCTTTGGGCTCTCCACCATCAGACAACCTGATATTATCGGTTCTTTCGTGTGTCTTTCTTGCGTTCGCTTCGCTACAATGACTGAAAAGAAGCGTGAGCGAAACAAGAGAACGCAAGCGAGCAAACACAACGAAAAGCATGCCAGGAAGATTTCTATCGTTAGAACATACCGTAGAACATTATAGGAGGAAGTCAATGGTAAGGGATGACCTATGTAATTGATGTTTCTTTCTATACGTGCAAATGTCCTATGATATCCTGATGCTCACTTACCATTAGAGCTGAAGCGTCGCTGTTGAAAGCATTGGTTTTCCCATGTTCGGTACCAGTCTCTTTTTTGTCTGTTTTGTCATGGCCGTGCCTATGCCCACGCAACCGTCCTGCAGCAAGCAAAGACAAAGGCACGGCTGGTTCGCATCTACCAAGGGGCTGGCGACAAGCTCACGCAGGGAAGGGGGAAGGGGTGGCAACGCTGCACCAGACGTAGTGAGGTTTTTTGTCTTATGATGCCTCTACCAGCAGGAGCTGAGACCCAGAGCGAGAGAACGTTCAGTGTTGTTCTCGTTCTTCACCCGGCTCACAGAACTGTCGACAGAAGTGATGCATGGAGAGACGGCGAACTTCGGCAGCATGATTCAGCAGCTTCTATTTCAAAGGATGTTGGCGCACGTCTCAGCAATTCCCGGTGCCGTGTGGACGTTCCCACACGAGGCTGCGCAAGCTGCGCATGTTCGGAGCTGTGTTTTGTCATTGCGGAGCTGTGTGGAGGTTGCCTTGTGCATGCTGCTCGATCGTCAACAGGTCCGGGAGCTGCAGTGGGTTCGTGCTGACAGAGCGAGCCCCAGCCTGCATGCTGCCTGCATGTTCCTTGCAGCCTTCATCGAAGCAAGTTTGAGTACAGCTAAGTTACTTCCAAGTAGTAATTGTCTTCAATCCTACGAAACACTTGTTTCTGCTGGAGACCAGTGTTGAAGTGCGGAGCTAAGTAAGTGCTACATAGTACGAGAGGAAGCAAGATGTTCAATCTGGAGGACTGGCCAAGCGCGTATGCTCACTTGCACGCTGCATGCAGAAATTGCCATTCCGTTGATCTGTTCTCTCACAGAGACTTCGATGCGGCTCAAAATTGAACAGCCTGCTGGGCTCACTCCTGGAAGCTTCGGAGTTTTAAGTAGATGGAGATGCTGAGATGCCTTGTGGCATGGTTTTAGACCTTGCTGCGCGCGCCGTCACGGTTGATGACAAGCCGAGAAGGGCAAGTCGGCGAGGACGTCGGTGAGCAAAATGAGCAGAGCTTCTCGGACGATCTCTAGCATAGCATGCAGAAGTTTTCGTCTCCAAACATTAACATCCTAAGTTAAAGCGGCCTGCCACACCTCGAGCCGACTAGCTTGGAACTGCCCAATAAGGTGTTGTGAAAGCTGCTAGTGAAGCAGGCAAGGCAACGGATGCAGACCGCAGAGAGGTCTTGTCCAGCTCTGATAGTGAAAGTTCACAGGATGCTCCGCAGCTCAAGGCAAGTTGCAGTCCGCTGGGGGCTGACAGTACCCATGTGGATTCACAGCGTGCAGAAGAGGTCGGGCACGAGGCGCTGGGAGATGCTGCTGAAGCGCCACCGTTGGTGCGCAGCCGCAGCAGGAGCGCCAGCCCGATGGCCCAGGGCGAACCCGATCCAGGGCCCAAGAGAGGTCCGCACGTCTTGCGGCAGTCCGGGCGTCGCCTTCGTGATAGCGACCTCGTCCGCTTTGCTCGTGAAAAGGGCAGTGGGTACGACGAGATCGACTTCTCCCGCAACGATTTGACATCGAAGTCAGTCCCCGACATTGTGGAGATCTGTAAGAAGTCCCACCAGCTGAAGATTTTGAAGCTTTTCAACAACCGATTAGGAGACGATGGTGCCGAGGAGCTTGGAGAGATCTTCCAGCACTGTGCATCCATTGAGGAGATACATCTCAGCCACAACGACTTCACCCGCAAAGGAGTCGAGATTCTAGTGTTGGCTGCTGACAGGGGCCTGCCAAAGGATGTGAAGCGTCCACTTTGGCTTCGGATGGAGCACAACAAGGTATCGGACACCGAAGGCTTCGCGCGTGATTTGGAGAGGGACTGTCCTGCTGTGTGTGGCAGGGAGGACCGGCATCGCTGCACACCGAGAGTCTGTGCCAAAGGCAGACGGATCCACCTACCATTCTTGATCGAGGCTCCCAAAGGCAGGGGGCGAGGGAAAGAGAGCTGGGGTCCAGGCCAAGGCCAAGGCCCGCTGCGCCGCGAGAGGAGAGACTCACGGAGAAGGCCCAACAGAGCTCCGATGCGCCGTCGGAGTCGGCCGAAGGAGAGTCGCAGCCGAAGCGCCAGGAGGAGACCAAGGATGCCTGAGAGGCAGGAGCCGTCGTGCCGCTTGCGTTTGCAAAGTGTGCCAAGGGGAGGCTGCGGAGGGCGGAGGGCTTCCAGCTCTCGAGAAAGACTGCCACAACCCCCACCTCGCAGGCCTCTTTACAGGAGGCGAGAGCGAGTCCGCCTGCCACCCAGGCTGTCCAGATCACAACATGCGGCCCGTGACCTCTCGCAACCGGTTGCAAAGCCAAAGTCCAGGCAGTGCGCAGCATACCCCACACAGAGACTTAATGGGCATCACAGAAGGCCGCAGGCGCCTCCGCTGGCGCATGCAGTGCCACGTCGGGTGCCTGCCTATACTCGACAGTTTGTACCTCCCACAGGTGCGCGAGATGATGTCGAATATAGCTACTACAGCTACTACTCCGAATATGAGGATGAGGGCAGCTGCGCTTAGGAAAATGAGCTTTAATCCAACTTCTTGGCGAAGGTTTTAAGAACGGTACATCTTGGCTTTGAAGTGCGCGCAGTTGCAGGACATGCTGGACAAGCAGCCCGGTCAAGGCCGTGTGGCTTCCATTCAGCAGAAAACCTTGGCTTGCCTCCTGGCTGAATTGAGGTGCAAGCATCGATTGGTCCCGCGCTGCTGAGACTGAAGAGACATTGTGACGTCAATATTCTCGACGCGCTCGCTATTCATTTCTGGCCTGTGTGGCCTTCAAACGCTTCAGGACAAAGAGGTGTCTGCAGAGACTACGCTATGCCGGACTGTCAGGGAATGAGCATGAACATCCTGCAAGCCATAGCAAAACATTACATCAGAAACATTCAGAAACATTTGCGGACTTGATGGCCCGAAGCATTTGGCTGTCGTGTGCTTCTCGTGTGCTTCGGGGCTTCACGCTTGAAGAAAATCAGTCGCAGCAAGCGTGCACAAAGGCATGGCAAATAGAGAAGGCCAAGTAGCAGTAGCGTGGTCGCATGTTAGGTTTTCAGAAGACATCTGCATTGATGCTGCGCAGCCTGAGCATGGAGATGATCCAGCGATCTGGTTGGCGTGGTCCAGATGGCAGATTTCAACCCAGGTGGAACGGTGCTTTTGGGAGCGTGTGTCGCCTTTGCGCGCCCTTTCTGAAGCGCCCAGGGGCCCGGGCCCAGTGCCGAGAGCGAGCCGAATCGAGTCAGCAGCCGCGACGCTTTGCCACACTTCCAGGATAGGAATGGGGCGCGTCCATGTCTGGGTCATCTGGGTTTGGGTTCTGCTTCCAAGGACGTCAAGCAGCCCTGTGCGGGCCAAGGCCTCGGAAGTAAATGTCACTAGGGTCAGAGTTAGGGCTCTTCGAAGAAACCACTTTCCTTCACTCAAGGTCATTGTGGCAGCATCTGCAGTTGTTATACGCAGACACCTCAGAGCATCCGGAGCCCTCCGAAACCACCAAGGCACCGAATGGAACCTAATCAAAGGGCACTAAGGCCCCACCTTGGCAGCTGCCAGGAAGACATTCTGGAGGCTTCCTTGAAGAGCAAATTCTGCAGCTTAGACTGCATCGGCTTTCGATTCAGCTGTCGAAACCAGATGTATCCGACAGCCACTCAAGGCGATCAGAAGCTCAAAGGCTGCGAGGAGAAGCTGATCAGCTGGAGCAAGAACAGGCCTGACTGATAACTCACAGCACACAGATCTGCAGCATCGGATTGCATCGACAGGAGCAGGCAAGGGCAGCTACTCGCGTGCTCGAGCTTGTCACACGATGCTTGATTTCAAGGTTTCAGTGCGTTCTGCAGCCATATCTGAGCAGGCAGCTCATGACAGCATCTCAGGAGATTTAATCGAGCACAAACAAGGAATCCTGCTTCATCCTGCTGCTTGCCTTGTGTAAGTTCGTGGTTCAACATGGCTAAGAAAGGTTTGAGACAAGGTGCACATTGCACCGTCGCTCAGATTCATTTACACTCTCCTCCATACGAATGCCTCTGTCAGTTCTTTTTCGGGGCAGAGGTTCAACCATCTCCTGCACCCCAACTGCACGAGCATCCTCGGCGTGAGGAAGCCCGACCTGAGTCAAGGCATCCGGAGCCAGAAGTCACTTTGCAGGTCGCATGCAGACGCCAAAAGCATCACCTTGCCAAAAGGATCCACTAGGATACTCAGAGCAAGACAAACACGAGAAGATACGTGAAGCCTCGCAGCAGTGCTAACGGGCAGTCTCGACGACAGGCGCTAACTTAGCGCTTCCCTTCGCTTCACTTGAAATCATCTAGCTTGATGACCAGTTTGTCCAAGACAAACGCAATGCGGCATCGCAGCCCATGCGTAGGCATGAAATGGCATGAATCTCCCCATGCGGCAGCGTGCCACGAGATGATTGTGCCAGCATGGCCGTTTACAAACAGCTTCCAATGTTTGCCTTCACCGTCGTGTTATTGAGATTGGGCACGCACAAGACAGCTTTTTTGAACACGACTCTCAACCTGGTTTGGATTGCTTGGTTCTGACGGGGCCGCCTGTGGTTTGATGTGCGACGCTCTCTGCTTCTCGCCTCTCCGCAGTTCTTCGTTGTCCGTAGTTCGCGCTAGCACTCTTTCCTACGGAGTAGGCCGCCGTTGCGCCGTACCATTTTGGCGTCTTCCTCATAAGCAGGCGACGTTGTATATGCAGAAGAGGTTCGTGTTGCTTTCATCTATGGTGAGTGTTTAAATATAAATATTTCCTTGTGGAAACAACTTTAGCATGGACCACCAAGATTGCTGGGTTTAACAGGTGTGGCGATAGATCGCGCAAAGAGACATCTCCACAACAGTCGTGAAGGCCCCTCGCACGCGAGATTCTTTCCTTACCGTAAACTTGAAAAGGCTTGGAAGCTCGGTGGTCCGGGGATTGCTTGGAGGGAGGCGGAGGGCGGAGGGGCGCACTTTTTGGGCCCTTCAAAGGGGAGCACCTGGCTGTGACAAGTATGAGTATGAGTTTTAGTTTTGATATTGCCTCAACCCAAGCTGATGAACTCATGCGGCCCCCTCCCAGTTCCAAGTCTTGACGCTTCGCAACCGTCACCGGTCGACGAGCATCTACGAGTGAATGAACGTCCGATTCCGCAGAAGACCCTTTTCCGCTTCAATACCGCCCGGAAATACCATGATGTTGGCATCTACTTCGAACGCGTTGTGTTGGAGGATGTTGGAAGCGAGGGTGGTCGTGTCCATGAGGCCGATAAGGTGGCCGGAATGGCAAAAGGATTCTAGCTTTGTTCAGTATAAGTGTTCTGTAAGGGGTTGAGGATTTGGGGGCCGTTTTGGGACACAACCCTGAGGAGCAACCAGGCATCCATCAAACAGGAAATCCTGAACATTCCTGAACAAGCTCGCTGTTGTCATCTGTTGTCCTTTGTCGGGCGGCTGTGCACTATCGACCGCGGTCGACCGGCGCACAGAAGATTCGAGGCGCAGCAGGTCGCGCAACGACGCCACTTTGAGCATCACTGCCAGCCGAGCCGAGACGACCGAGCGACGTGATGGCCTTCCCGTTCAACCAGCTGGCTGGGCTTTCGTTTGATACATGCCCCCAGCCTTCGTCGTCAATGTCGCCGTTGTTGTGCTCTGAGACCTCTTGGCCGGCTTGGTTGTTGTCCCACTTGTCGGGCCCGTGACACGTTTGTAGTATTGCCACTGCAGGCGCCTGTGTGTTCTCGCCTCGCGACGCCTTCAAGAGTAGCCTTGCACATCAGAGCGAAGTGCTTTCTCGTTTGCCAAGGTAGGTGAAGCTGTACCTGACTTATCAGACCCACTTGTTGAACCCTCTGATACCATCGTTTGCATCCTTGGGGGCCACATCTACGACGAAGCACAAACGTTAGAGTTCTCCGGTCCTTGAGCTGCGAAGCAAGAGTTGACTCCCTGCCGTGCCGAACTTGCATGGCCTGTCAGACAATTTCAGCATCCCTGGATGACAACGGAGCCTCCCGACACGTCCGACTTCGCAAACCCATCTCAGCAGAAAGAACTCTTCCCAGTCACACCCGTTGCCTAAGCTGTCCTGTCAGTATCAGTATCAGTATCAGTTTCCAAAGCATCATGTCGCCTGATGTCTCACTAAGACTAAAGCCGCAGCCACCTCACTGGAAGATGGCAGGCGCACTCGAAGCAGCATGGCCTCGGTCACCCCGCTTCCTGTTCGAATCTTGGCAATGTCGCTTGGATCAAAGAACAGACATTTTGAGACACCGAGGGATCTCTTCAATCTATTCGCCATTCGCAGCACTGTCTTACCAGTTTACTAGTCAAGATTCTGTGGCACATGGCCGCAACTTTCACAGCTATAAAAGAAGCTTTTGCCAAAATCACGGTGGGATCTAGATTCTGCTGCCAATCTCAATGCACGGACCATGTATTTAGATTTGAATATGGGCCTCATGATCGCTGCAAGTTTTCAGTAACTGCACGTACATTGTGATTCAGTGTCGTGGAAGGTTGCCATACTTTCTTCCAGTGCTGGATGCATTGCGCTTCTTTGGAGCTGGCCTCGCATCCGAGCACTTGCCAAGCTATTACCTTGCTCCAGACTCAGAGCATAAGACTGCCAGAAGACTCCACAACTTCACAGAACTAACCTGAAAGGCATGTACGTCCGTTCTTTCGGCAATTCCGCAGGCTTGGTTGCAGAAGCAGATGCGAAGGAGTTGAATCATGTCAAAACCATCTCTGCAGGATTTTCGAGAACTCCTTGATGTGGGGCAGCCACTCCTGCTGTTCGCAATGCCCACAATAGCCGTGCGGCTCGGCGGACAGACGATCATTGGATCATGTGGGAGCAAGTTGCGCCTCCCATTCATCTGGTAACCGAATCAACAGACAACGCGCGACAACCGCGACGGATCTGACAATGCAGTGGGCAGTTTGTTTCCAATCGGTGGCATAGGTGACCCACCCAGGACCCCCTCCCCACCCCCCACCACCGCCATCCCTCACGATACTGGTACAATGTCATGCAAGTCCCCACATGCTACTTAGTAGTTGATTTAAGGCGGCGGCAGTTGCCGGAGCTTCTTCGCTTCAACCTTAACCAGGTGCGTTTACGGTGGAAGTTCCTGCGAAGCTGATGCGCAAAGCTTTTGAAATCTTCTGAAGGGTCGAGATTGCAACCGCTGCGCAGGCCTTCCTGCTCGACCTCGCCACTTGCATCGCTTTCCATCTATCTTCCTTCGCGCGATGGTGGCCTTCACAGGGATAAATGTGTTATAACATGTCACATGTCATATCATGTTGTAGGTGTAGCCTAGCACGAAGCAATGCCTACCCTGTCAATGTGATTGAGGATGACATTACAGAGTGAAAGTGCGTTCTACGTGCCTACAGCCGCGGAGCCTCCCCTGATGCCGTTCAGCAACGTGCCTGGACTGCTGTACATGACTTTGATCATCGCCTCTGCCAACCAGTCATTGCTGTCGCCCTCTCTCTCTCTCTCTCTCTCTCTCTTTTCTCCCTCTCTCTCTCGCTCTTCTCCTCTCCCTCTTTCTCGGCCGGCTTTTCGGTTTCCTTGCACTAACTCTCAGGTTGTGCTTCTGCTGCTTTCAGCATGCACGATTTACAGCATGTGCTGCACGCTCAGCGGGACCACTCCAGAGGGCATCCCGTACCTTTCGGTGCACGGCTTATTTGCATTGAGGGTCCAGGTGCTTGTATGTACCGGTGACGAGGACAAAGCCAAGCTTAAGCATGCTTCAAATGATCTTAGGCTGAAGCCAGAAGAAGTTTGGGAACAAGTGCTGCTGCCATGAAGCGCCGCATGACCAAATCAGGCCGTTAAGGCTAAGGCACAATTCGATGCCAGTTCCATGCAGACACCTGCTGAGAATTACGTGTGGACTAGCGACTTAGTCCGGAGACGTTCAATGCATGATTGCACGTCACGGCAGCCGTCGGCCGCTTTTGAGAAGCTGCAGACGAGGCCTTGACTTGTCTGGTTCCGTAGTTCGCACCGCCTCCGCGTCTCTGAGCTGGTAGCTACGAATCGGGCAAGTAAAATCCGAAAGGATGCGAGTCTCCGCAGACCATACAGGCGGTTGGCGAACAGATGATTTGTACACTTCAAGGAGATTCTGGCCATCATGGGGCAGAACATGCACTTGCAGCTGTGAGATGCTGTAAGCTGCATGCTGCACCATGCTCCTAGCTCAACTTTTTGAAACCTCCGGCCACCGAGCCGAACGTTCCGCTGGTCCGATCTCCGACTTGCCGTCTAAGCAGCAACTATGTTGTCGCAGGCAGCATATTGCAGCGTTGCAGATGTGCATACAGTCTAAGCAGCACGGAGGCCGATGTTCCGTAGCCGTTCAGGCCGAAGCTTTGCAACAGTTCTTCGAATACTATCTGCAAGACTTTCATGTTGCCAGTAGCCGTAATCAATATGAACAACATGCTACTTGTGCAAGCAACTTGCCTAAAGCTCAAACGACATCGAGAATTAGATCAGTATTTTTCGCGAGTGCTTTCTGCGAGAACAGAGCTGGGCGAAGGCCCAGCCCCTCGCCACAGCCGCAGACATAGTTGCGATGCCATGGCGCCGCTCAACGGCCGCGTGCCAAGCACATGCACTCGTAACATCATTCTACTTCATCCGTCAGCATAGCAGATGCAGGGAAGCTTGAGGCGGCCGCGACGGTCCCTGCCATCGCAGCAACGAAAACACAGCTTCAGGTGCTACTTGGGCTGCTTGCCATTGTGCCTGCAGCTGCGGAGGATCCGTCAATTCGTAGTCTAGGCCGGGGCAGTTTGGGAATCGAAGGCGGGAGCATGCCCTGACTTCAGGACGATCTGTGCGAAGACCTTGCTGTGAATATCGCACTCGCATGTGAGGGAACGACTTCGAGAAGGGGAGACAGAGAGAGAGAGACCGCACGGGAGAAGGGCCAGGACGCTGCCCTTCTCTCCTACCCGGAAGAGAGAGAGAGAGAGAGGAGTCAGAGACATTCCTATTGTATCCTAGTGCTTTCGTCACGATGTTGCAAAAAGGGGGACCACCACGATGTACCATGACATTTATTCTTGTGGAGCAATTGTGACTCGTGTTTGCAAGCGATCAGTGTGTGAGTTTGCCTTGGCCACTTTAGTTTTACCAGCAACGATCCACAAGATTGCGAATAGGATGCCCATGTCGAGTTTATCAGTGATGGCAGTCCATAAATGTTGTGATGTTAAGGGTGGGACTGCTTCCGGTAAATTTTTTTGCACCTTAACTGAAAAGCCATCACAACACGCTAGGAAGATGTACAATGTACAGATGAACCGTGGAGCGGTTCATTGCTGTCCCCTGTGAACTTACTTTGTATCCTATGCTAAGTTGGTCCAGCTGTTGTGCTAAATAATGAGGGGACATGTGATACTGTCACTGCATGTGTCGAGCAAATCAGTTGAGGAACCCTGATCTTACATAGTCCAATATATCTCTACTTGCTTATTAGGGGGACTCACTGAATTGTCACGCCTTTCCAAATGCCCCATAACATATGGTGGGCCCATGTGGCCGAAAGGCCTCGCACGCCTTTCATGCCCTGCAGAAGAAGAGAGAGAGAGACTGAGAGCGAAAAGCTGCGAGATCCGAGAGTGGGAGTCGGAGAGGGAGCGCGGCGTGCGGCGCTGTGAGGAGGGGTCCAGCCCGGTAGCGATTGCAATATCTGCGCGGTCCTCAGTCGATGCATCCTATGGGTTCAAGCCCCAAAAACGAAGTCGTGCAGGAACGAGCACCAGCTTCCCGGCATCAGCTTGAAAATGTGTTCACAACCTTCATGGACAACTTGACCTTCTGCTGAAACCTCCAAATCGAGCAGTGGCTTTGCGGGGTCAGGGTCTTTGTTTACACCATTCTACACCATTCTACACCCACATGACGACACGCCTGTCGGGTGTGGCCGACCTTACCGGGACCCGCTGACCGACTCAAGTTCGACAGCGGTCGGCACCTCCAAACATGCAAGACTAATGAAGGCTCCTGATCTCGCTTGTTTGTGAAGAGTTTAAAGGCGGACACCGGGCCATCTTTGCTGAGCGTGTGTGTGTGTGTATATGTGTGTGTGTGTGTGTGCGCGTGTGTGTGTGTGTGTGTGGCGCGAGACGAAATAGACTTCAAAAACTCAAGCCACAAACCCTCTCATGCCTTCTGCCTTGCAGTCCCGCCAAATTGGGCTGGAGGGTGCCCGCACCCCTTGCGAGAGCACTACATGAACGCTCTTTCCGGAGATTGCCGGGTGTTTATCCACAGGAAACCACGCTAAAACGAAAATTTATGCTCTAGGGAACCAGAACAGAGCACAACTTTTGGTTACGGGCCCGCTGTCAGGCACGTTGCTGACAAGTAGCTCAGCTCGCTCTATCTCTCTCTCTCTCTCTCTCTCTCGCTCTCTCTCTCTCTCTCTCTCTCTCTTTCTCTCTCTCTCTCTCTATCTCTCTCTCTCTCTCTCTCTCCCTCCTTGTCGTGTTCGCAAGCTCCCGTCTTCGTTGGTCCTCCGCCTTGCCGTAGACCCTTCCCTGATTACAGTCATCGTTATCATCTCCGTCATTGTCATCGCACGATCGCCGCCTCTGTTCCCACAATACCAACGGAAAGGGGACATGACATGGTTTGCACTTTCCAGCATGTGACCTTCAATTGATTGCATGTTGCACGCGACATCCGGCATGGTTGAGGTCATGTTGATGGGGAGCATTGGGTGCGCGCCCCAACTTGTCAGTGCCAGTTCTTCCTCTTTTTTTTTTTCTCTCTCTCTCTCTCTCTGCCAGTCAACATGCATGTCCCTATGATCACCATGCCACTATGCCCACAGGTAGCGAGTTCAAGTTTGCTGTATGACGATGTCGCATGGTGATTTAGACAATCGGTCTGACAGTGTCGAGTCGGGGACAAGTCGGCTGCACGAGGAAGGCTTTCAGAGTGAGTCGGGGTTGTTCCGTAGTATGGTGAACCAGGCGATATGCGCAATGAAGCACTCAACTTCTCCGGGAGTGCAGGTGAGGTTACTTATACTGTAAATGGTAAACGACGTCGTCTGTTCGGGAGCCCAGCGTTGGGGAAGGGGGAATTTGCATTTTTGAACGATGATGAGCGAAGTATCGTTTGTAGTGTCCTCGAAACGCTTGAGACAACAATTGGATGATATACGGAAGCTGTAGCGGAATGCTTGCCAAGGACTTGGATGATAACAGACGAAACAAAAGAGCTCATGCCGCCGATGGCATTGCAGCTGGTTTCGTGACATTGCGGTGTTTGCATCGTAGAGTCTTTGGGAAACGGATGCAGGCACTACAACTAGAAAGCCGATCTTCCAAGCAATTGTGACAGAGCATTGAATGCAGCTTTTCCTGGCGGGTAATTGAACAAGCAGGGCGGCCGGCGAAGCAGGATCGAAACGACAGCGGCGGGAGTTTGGACGGGGTTGCTTAACAGAGGCCTCGCCAGTCCTTTCAGGGGTTCAGTCCAGGCTCGCCACAACCCATCCGCAGCCCTATCCTGCCAACCTCACAGTCTGAAGACCTTGAGGTTTCAGATGCTGATGTTCTACTTGGTGAATTGGCCTGATCGCGATATCCAGCGGTACTCTTGGCAGGCCGCAGCCTCAAAAACTGCACCACATCTGAACGTGCTAGGTTCTGACGTTCTGCTATATACTTCTGGACCGAGCCTTGGGTCCCGAGCATGTCCAGCCCTCTGTCTTCAAGCATTGCTTGGTTGTGCTGCAGGGGCTTCGCGATCTCTGTCGAAAGTCGAAGTTGTTTGCCTTGGATGTGCTTTGGTTTGCTACCTGTCTCCTCGTTTTGCATGGCTTGGGCACGTTGTCGAGCTTGCGACAAGCTAGGTTTGCAGGTGCGGTCGGTACTTTTGTCTGTCCCATTTCATGCCGGCTTGTTGCCTTGCTTTGGTCTCTTTGGTGTTTCCCTCTGCCTCCCTTCGTAGCCAGCCACAGGTCATCAGCCAGACTATCTCCATTTTCTGTGCTGCCGGCTGCCGAGAATCACAACGAGAGACGCTTTCCGACTGAAGCTGCTTCTGGCTTTGGCGCCCGTGCATATTCTTGGAGCCAGGTGCTGCTTTTCCAAGGCTGCAATGGTTTGGTGGAGGAGAGCTTCGCAACTGTGTTAAGTTAGTTAAGTCCATACATGCTGTCGGAGTTTGGTTGGTCCCATCAGGAGCACTTCATCAAAGGCGCCCGTGGATGACATCGAACTCGCAGTTTCAGTATCTGCTTAATTTGAGCGCATTGCCATGTCCCGAGAGTGCTTCCTCAGTTTTCGGAGCGAGTCGACAGTCAATGTTGCAGTAGGTTGTGGCCATCTTGTGGTGTTTGCACGCTTGAAGTTCATGGAGGGTTCTGTCGAAGGCTGCACTACACTTGACGGCGCCTAACCGTTACCCAACCGCTTTGACCGTGGGCTTCTTCCGTACGCTGATGAGGGATGCGTCGAATTCACGTGCACGCCTTGCGCGAGTTGCTCATGCATCGATCACCAGCAGGAATCGTGGACCTGTAAAAACATGGAAGGGCTTAACTGCGGCTTGAGTCATCGTGCCACAGTCAGGACGCAAGCTTGTCTAGCACGTCATGGCATCCGCAACTGCCTGCCACAAATGGATGCCCCGATTGCCAGATTAATCCTCGCGCGATCGGGCCAGGCGTCCAAATCATGGAGTCTGGGGCTCCTAAACTGGCCACTTGTTAACGGATTTTTTTTAAATCCGTCCGTGTTTCGGCGCCGCCCGGCTCTCGCAGTCCCTGTGCTCCACAACGGGATACAGGCCCGGCTCAAGCGGGTGTC